GCATATTTTAGAACTCTGCCTCATATTTGGATACATTATTATAAGACTGAGCTGCCAGTCTCCACTGGAGTTTCTGGGCTGAACTAGGAGACATTTTGCATGTCGATACTAGACCACTGTGTCATGACCACGGACATGTTTGTATATTGCGAGCCTATGCTATCTGTTTTTGGCACCATTGTGTACAATAAATCTTCACCATCAGAGGCCCTAAAATGTATTATATTGCTTCTCTTTAAAAAAAATACTACCATTGCTTCCTATAAAATAAGCCTGCTTGTAAAACCTAAATGTTTCAGCAACAATAGACTTCCTGCCAAATAATGTGTAACCAAGAAAAAAGTAATTGACTTTAAGCAATGCAATGAGCCTTAGATGAATTGTATCTTATAATAGCATATGAACCTCTCTCCTATAAACACATTTTAGCAAGTAAATTGTGTTTAAGAAATGCCTTTATTCTGATGAATTGGAAATCAGTATTTTGATATTCAAATAGAGTTATCTAATATTAGTATCTAATATTATATTAAATATTAATATATAATATTTAGAAAGTGAATTTTACTCCATTCTGAACTTTAAAGAAGGCCTTTATTTTGGCACCCTCTGACTGCATAATTATGGAAAGATGTGATTCAGTCTATTAAGAATTTCTGCTCCTTTAAGGTTTAGAAATGTCATGAACATCACTATGATTAGTAATTAGGAAAAGGTCCCCTCTACTCATTCTGAAAATACTATCTTTCTTACTCAATTCTGCGATCCGTGTCTGTCATCAGGTTCACACAAAAAGGGCAATCTTTCATCTAAGTATTTTTACTTCCTTTCTTATTTCTTTTTTATCTGCTATCATCATTGTCCATGTTTGCCATTTAGGGATAACATGTAACTGGCTTAATAACAGATGTGAAACTTTTTCATATGTTCTTCAGTTTCCACAACCAGTAAAGTATTCTGTATTTACAACAGAGCCAAATGAAAAATGAGTTTTTAAAACACAGGCTTCCATCACTAAATGTCTGTGATATTTAGTGTAGATGGCATACAATTATACTTAAGCCTCATTGTGATGCTCTTCTCCAGGTCTGAATCAAGGTTGACTGTAAAAGATAAAATTACTTAGTACTGAGGAAAATTAATAATGATGTGCTTACGACTCTATCCTCTGACCAGTAAATATATGGCAAGTTATAAGCATGTCTTTTGGGGATAGTGATGTAGAATAAAGTTTCTTGAGACATTTTCCAATTATCAGAGAGTGCCGTTTATAAATACTCCTAGTGCCATTTATAAATACTGGAAATGGCTGAAAGTGAATTGAAGAACTGTTTGCCCCTTAAGGGCCAAATTGTAACAATCCCATGACCCAAAGCCATTTTTAGGTACTCAGAAGGGGCATATTGTTGAGGTAGTGAAACAGATGTCTTAGATTACATTAAATCAGTGAGTTCATGTAATGGAAGTCAATTACAATAGTACTTCTTTCCACAACAAATGCTGGATTAACAGTTGGTAATATTTCCTAACAGACATTTGAGGGCAAAACGTTAGATGGTTGTGGGCACTTGCAATGCTCAAGATTTTCTTTTCAAGTCAAAGTGATTGACAAGGTTTATTGGACGCCAGTGTTGATTTGAGCTTGAGATTCCCAAATGAAGGCTGCTGCTGACAGTCTTTAAGAGAGGGAAATGTGAGAGCAAGGTAGTTGCGATGTAACAAATATTCTTGATGGTTCAGGCATTCATTCTCTTATTAGAGCTAATGGCAACAATTTAGTCAAAACTTTTTATCACTTTTTGACTCAGTTAATTTAGACTTTTTAAATAAAGATGATTATAAGTGTTAATATTCATGATGAATTCAGAGATAATTTGCTACTGAGAATTATCAGTCACAAGAAGCAATTTAACTTCATTGGATTTGATGATCTTAAATCCACTGGTGCTTCACTAATAATATTTTAACAAAAGCTGGAGAAGTGACCTATACTAATTACAGAGAAATAGTTCAAATGAAAAGATATTAGGGTTCTGGGAAGGAAACATATAACATTACAATATAGTAATTGTTAAATAATTATAAACTGGGGTTGTTTTTAGGAGACCCAAACACAAAGTGTTTTACAAGATTTTTTGTCTCAGTGAAGATGAAAATTGGTACATATTGTTGTCAATGTTTCATTACCTTTTACATTTAGATGGAAGTTTGGTAGAAAGAGCAAACACTGGAATCACAGTGTTGTCCAGGCTGTGCTTTTCACCTTATTGTAACTTTGAGGAAGCTACTTGTCCATGTTACCTGAATGGTCAGTTTCCTCATCTATAAATATGTCATAATAATGCTTATTTCATTATACAAAGGTTTCAATGCAAGATATGTCAGATATGCTTTTTACACTAGGCTACTAAGTTTTCATTATTTAAATTATTACTATTATTATTCTTTGAGTTGTCAATTTTATACTTTGTTCAATAATGTAACTCAGGCATCCAGGTATTATTGTTATCCCAAAACACTTGTTAGAACCGTACTACTCCTTGCGTATTTTAAAGTTACATCTATTTTTTATTCTTAAGCAAGTATAGATAGTTGAAATTATGATATGTTTAAATAACGACAGAACTTGAGTATAAATACCATGATAATAGATAACATCATTTATTTAAAAACATATGAATGAATTATTACTTTGAGTTGGACATTTTATATCATTTATTTTATCTTTATGAATTTGTATTCCCATTCCAATTTAGCAACATTAATTTGTCCTAATGAAACATAATTTTATGCTTGAAGGCCCCCTATATTGAATATCTTATCCTTCTCTACAAATATTTGTTTTAAAATTTGAGTCCCTGTTACCATAAGGCTCTATGTATCTTCTAGGTAAGTTTTTATTACAATTGTTAGTAGTACATCATTTATTTAAAACAGCAAAATACATTATAAATTCTAATAAATACAATTTTAGAGAAGAAAATGTATTTGAAATGCTTTTTAAATAGCATAAAATGCTATTTAAAAGTAAGAATGCTATGGATTATTAGAAGCAATTGTGAAAATATTATTTTATGTGTTAGTCTGGAGATTTGTATGTATCAGACAACCACTAATGTGAGTTTTGAATCAGTCATATGCTTTTTGTTGACTGTCATTGTTAAAGGGGGTATAGGAAAGGAGAACCTGCAGAGCAAATAACATTTCAGCCTTATTCATTTTAAAATAGATTGTAAATAAAATTTAAAAATATGCTATCTGATTTCCTTAAAGCTATTAATAATTTAATAGCTCCTTTCATTAACCCGGGGCCTTTCAGGAATACAAATTAGAAAACCATTTTCTTAACACTTTTTTCCTCCCTCAAAACATGAAAATTCTCCTGCTTTTTATTAATTCTGAATAGTCAATCATCTTTCTTGTCTATTTTCATCAATTAGCCAGATTGTCTCAGCTGTAATAGAGATGAAATAATATAATTCAAGAGAGGTTAGGCAGACCTAAGTAAATCTAACCAACGTAGAACCCAATCAGATCAACTATGGAGGGAATAATTTTGTGTTTCCAAACTCTGGCCATTCCCTATAACTGAGAGGTTTGTTCATTTGTTTGTTTAAAGACAGTATCCCACTCTGTTATCCAGGTTGGAGTGCAGTGACAAAATCAGCTCACTGCAGCTTTGAACTTTCAGGACTCATGTGATATTCCTACTTCAGCCTCCCTAGTAGCTGGGACTATAGGCGTATGCCACCATCCCCAGCTTCTTTTTATTTTTACTTTTATTTTTTGCAGAAACAGGGTCTTCGTATATTGCTCAGGCTAGTCTCATACTCCTGCGCTCAAGCAATCCTCTCGCTTTGGCCTCCCAAAGTGCCAGAATTACAGGTGTGAGTCACTGTGTCAGGCCTCAGAGGTTTTCTAGGGCCCCGAAATATGGAGATGTAAAGAGCCACCATTATACATAACAAGAAAATCATATTTATGGAACAGCCCACCATTTGGGTGGCCTGGCAAGGGGCTCTATAACTCTCCAGCATTTAATCAACATAGATGGCTAAATAACTGGTTGGTATAGCATGAGGCCAAAGAGCAGCCTGAGGTAGGCAAGTATGATAACATTGAAGAGGAGGCCTCTGCACTAACTTAAAAGTATGTTAAAGACATGACTGAATTGAGAATCATCTATATCCATTAGAGAATATTCTAGGTTTTTATGTGTTTGCTTGTTTGTCCGTCTTTTGGGTTTTTGTATAGTTCAAGTACAGAACATTTTGAGTTCAAGAACTGTCTTCTGTAAGACCTTTGAATTACCCTAATTAAAGGTACATTGTGCTTTCTAGTGGTTATTGATTTATATTCAAAGATTTTTTGGTGACATACAAAGGAATAAATGATCACCTAGACAAACTTTCATCTAAAAAAGGATAAAACAGTAAACCTGAAATAGTAAATGCCATTTCCAAAATCACACAGCTAATGGCAAAGCTGAGTTTAGAGCCTGCTGTTTCAATTCACTGCTTTTCCCCTCTATCTTAATGCTAGAATCATTCTACAAGTGAGGTCCTCAGGGCAGCAGCATCCAAATCAAGTGGGAACTTGCTGGAAACGGGAATTTTCTGGTTCCACTCCAGGCTGAGTGAATCCGAAATTTTAGGTCTGGGGCTTGACAATCTTTGTTTTAACAAACCTTCCAGTGATTCTGTTAAAGCTAACATATGAGAACCACTGTTTTAGAGGCTACAGATCAAAATTGAAAATAATTTGTAACGATGCTGTTTTACATGCCCTTGGCTTTGGTGCACTGAGGCACTGTCTGTGTCCTGCCTTTGGAAGGCTACTGGGCACCATATTGACACAAAATAGAAGTGGTGCCATATAGTATTAAAACTTTGACCTACGCATTTTTAAAGTCCATCTCTCCTTCATTTTGATTTTTATATTTTTTAGTAGAAAAGGGGACAGACTTTGAATTTTAACCATGATTTTTTTGTTTATTAAAGGTCTGCATGAAGAAGAAATGATGGGAGTGAACAATCAAGAGGCAGGGAAGCTCTGTACCAGCTCCTAACACAGGAAGTGCAACATGTTATCCACTAGATGTGACACAACCAGATTGCCCCTACTGCCAACGTTTCAGGAAGAAACAACCTTATACTCACAAGTAAGAAATATTTCAAAAGGCTATTTGAAAGGTAAAATCTGATGATGTATATTTTCAAATAGGTTATATTTATATTTTTAAAAAGTTAAACGTACATTTGAGAGCAAAGACAGTTGTAATAATTGTTCAAAGAAAAAAATTATGAAGGATATTGAAGTTCTACAAAGGGATTCTGATGTTAGAATTAAATATTTGATTTTTGTAATATGTGACACAAAGTGTGATTGATTATGGAGGAGCTGATTTCATTATCAATATTCAAAGAATATGTGTATGCTATAGAGAGAACAGAATTAAATATTTAAGGCATGGACAATTGTTTATGTAAAGTGTCATAAAATCTATTACTATAACTATAATCAGATATGTAATCAAGCAGAAGACTTAAATTCTTGTTTTCAAATGCTTGTTTAATTTATATAAGTATTCTTGTTGCTCAAAACATGCTCTTATAGCATCATTTCATAAATAAGCATAAAATTAGTATACAATATAAGCAGGCTAACAGCATATTTACAAAGGATATTCTTGAGAATGTTAACATATGACGTTCAAATGTTTCCTTTTAACCCAAAATACTTTAATGGTTAAATATGTTGTAATTGGCTGAATAAGTTACCTAAAAGTGCCCTTAAGAATTATTATAATTTTTTTCCTAATGAATGAACACATCCACACACCTTTCTCATTCCTATTTATTTTTATGACTCAATAAATTTAAGGACACATAAAGAAAAAATGAATGCTGGCTCCTTAGACATCTTTCCCATATGCTTCCAATATACAATTTGGAAGGAAAAGGAGTGGTTGGTAGCTAAATTGCTGAATATATTTCCTTGCAATAAAAAGAAAAGTGCCTTTGTAGAAATGCTGTGGAATTTTCCTATTAAACATGGTGGAATAATTTCTTGCCATCTGTAGCATTCATTTAAAAATATAAACAGTGGTGTATTTGCCATCTGTTTGAGTGACTTTTTATGATACTTTTTGATTCTGTCATTCAGTGATATCACCAATTTTATCATCTAAGGATGATGGCTTAAACTATGATCAATGGCATTTTTGGTAGCCAAACATACATGCTGTGGAAGTGAATCAGCAAATGGCAATAAAGATGGCCAGTAACAACCATAATAGCTCTGTTAACACCAATAAAACAGTACAGAATTGCTATTTGAAAGCATTTAACATCTTGCTGAAGGTGAAGAGCAAAATATCTGTGGAATGAGTGCTGCATATCAGCTTACATCAGGTAGCTATTAAACAGGTAAATTACAATCCCAGCCCTTCCCACATCCTTGAAAACATTTTTTTAAATGATATTGCCCACAGCAATTTTTACCAGAATTTCTAACCAGCATAATGTTCCAAGAAAACTAGTGAGTTTCTCTACATATTTGAGACTGATTAAAAGTTTACTGAATGAAGTCAGATATAGACATTTATCTTCAAGAGAATGTCAATGGGCCCATTAGTATTTCCTATACTGAGGTGGTATAAACACACAGATGTTCACAGACTTAAATTTCCAAGGATAAGATAATAGTTAGTTCTCATGGAATTAAGACACAATCAGTTTATGAGGTTTGGAATATTTACACAAGAGCAAAACAAAATCATTCCTTTACAACACATTTTTTTAAAACTTTTATTTTAGGTTCGGGGTACATGTGCAGGTTTGTTATATAGGTAAACTTGTATCACGGGGGTTTGTTATACAGTTTATTTCATCATGCAGGTATTGAGCCTAATACTACTAGTTATTTTTTTCTGGTTCACTCCCTCCTCCCACCCTCTGACCTCCAGCAGGCCCCAGTGTCTGTCGTTCCCCTCTATGTGTTCATGTGTTCTCATTATTTAGCTCCCACATGTAAGTGAAAGCGTGTTTGGTTTTCTGTTCCTGTGTTAGTTTGCTAAGGATAAAGGCTGCCACCTCCATTCATGTCCCTGCAAAGGACATAATCTTGTTCTTTTTTATGGCTGCATAATATTCCATGGTGTATGTGTACCACATTTTCTTTATTCAGTCTGTCATTGACAGGCATTTAGGTTGATTCTATGTCTTTGCTATTATGAATAGTGTTGCAATGAATATATGTGTGTATGTGTCTTTATAATAGAATGATTTATATTCCTTCGGGTATATACTCAGTAATGGGATTGCTGGGTCGAATGGTAGTTCTGTTTTTTGGTCTTTGAGGAATTTCCACACTGCTTTCCACAATGGTTGAACTAATTATGCTATTACTAAAAATGTGTGGAAGCATTCATTTTTCTCTGCAACCTGGCCAGCATCTGTTATTTTTTGACTTTTTAATAGTAGCGATTCTGACTTGTGTGAGATGGTATCTCATTGTGGTTTTGATTTGCATTTCTCTAATAATCAGTGATGTTGAGTTTTTTTTTTTCATTTGTTGGCTGCATGTATGCATTCTTTTGAAAAGTGTCTTTTCTTGTCCTTTGCCCACTTTTTAGTGGGGTTTTGTTTCTCTTATGAATTTAAGTTCCTTATAGATGCTGGATATTTGACCATTGTCAGATGCATAGTATGGACACATTTTCCCTCATTCTATAGGTTGTCTGTTTATTCTGATAATAGTTTCTTTTGCTGTGCAGAAATTCTAGTTTAATTAGATCCCATTTGTCAATGTTTGCTTTTGCTGCAATTTCTTTTTGGCATCTTCATCATGAACTCTTTGCCCATTTATATGTCCAGAATGGTATTGGTTAGCTTGTCTTCCAGGGTTTTATAGTTTTGGGTTTTACATTTAAGTCTTTATCTTGAGTTGATGTTTGTATACGATGTAAGGAAGGGGTCCAGTTTCAAGCTTCTGCCTGTGGCTAGCCAGTTATACCAGCATCATTTATCAAATAGGGAGTCCTTTCCCCATTGCTTGTTTTTGTCAACTTTGTTGAAGACCAGATGGTTAGGCATGTGTATTCTTATTTCTGGGCTCTCTGTTCTGTTTCTTTGGTCTATACGTCTGTTTTTGTACCAGTACCATGTTGTTTTGTTTACTGTAGCCCCATAGTAATTTGAAGATAGATAGTATGATGTCTCCAGCTTTTTTTCTTTTTTTTTTTTTTTTTGCTTAGGACTCTCTTGGCTATTTGGGCTCTTTTTTGGTTCCATATAAATTTTAAAATAGTTTTTCTTAGTTTCATGAAGAATGTCATTGGTAGTTCGATAGGAATAGCATTGAATCTATAAATTGCTTTGGGCAATATGGCTGTTTTAATGATATCGATGCTTCCTATCCATGAGCATGGAATGAGTTTTCCATTGTTTGTGTTGTCTCTGATTTCTTTGAGCAGTTATAACACATTTTAAAATAATACATTTTGAGACATTTTCTCTTGAAATTACAAATATGTGCATAATTACTGAGTAATGCCTTGCCACTTATTACCTTTACCCTGGAAAATAGTAGTCTGGCAAAAAAGAAGGTCAGCAAAATTCAGAACAGACACAGAGGATATAAGATCATATTCTTAGTGAGCCTCACTGATGGTGAAGAGAGCTACCTACAGCCTCTGATCTTTAAGTTAATGTATATAAAGATTTTGTTTTTTATTCCAGGTTTAGTCATTAAATATTTTTATACAAGTATCTGCTGAAGATATACTTTAGAGATTTGGAGTCAAGGATTGAGGTGTCCTAAAGCACTTAATTGTGCCTAATTAAAGAATAGCATACTAACAATATTTAATGAAGGTTGTATAACACTATAATAGAGAATGATTTTGATATTCAGTTCATTACTGCTAGAAACTTAGTTCAGTTATGATTCATACACAAACACAGAGATAGAAAAAATACAAAGTTAGAAAAACACACACTGACTTTAACTAAAGTAAGTTTTATACATTGTGGCTGCATATATTAATAAAATATATATTTAAATAGCCATTTGTGTCTCGTATTATAATCAGTTTTATAGTGGTTCTAACTTCCCTAAACCCAAATAGACTCGTATATTTTCTAGCAAGATATCACTGATGTGAATTTGCCATCTAGGAGAGAATACCCACTGAGAAAGTTTAGCTCTTATAATTGACTAATAAATTTATTTGAATATAGTTTATTTGGGAGCAGACATATGGGAGGTTTACCGGCAATGTAAATGTATTCTTAAAATTCCAGGAAAAAGTATGCCATAATACTTACACTATAAAGTGTAATACTGTATACCTTTGTTATAGTAAAATAGCTTGATGTAAGATAAATATAAAGAAATTAACAATTTCTCAATACAACAGAAAGGAAGTAGAAATTATTTTTAAAATGTGTATCTATTCACAATCACAACAAAATATATAAAAATCTAGAAATAAGTATAAGAAGAAAAGGTGAAAACTTTACCAAGAGACAAAAATACTTGAACAAAAAGAGAAGTACATTATATATTTGGATGAGTGACAAAACATAACAGATTAAATACACTTTAAAGCTTCTTTGCAAAAAACAAGAAAGGCGATAGTAAGACCATTTGGAAGGACACTCAGGGTATAATAGCTCAGCTGTCATTGAATAGGATGAGATATGAAAGGAATTTGTTCTGTTAGGTACTTAAACATACAATAATTAAAATACTGCAGCTTTGATATAAAACCTGTTGTGTTGGTAGAAAGAATAAAATAAATTAGCCCCAAATGGACATATATATGTAATCTACCTGTATATGTGTATGTTCATATGTAAATTAATTTAATATTTAAATAAAAAGCTAGTTACTCAACTGAGGATGCTGGAAAAATTGCTCTATATTTACGGAAGAAGTAATTAATTAATTACAAGAAACCACAAAACGAATCCTTTTTTGGATATCTTAAAAAGCTAAATATGAAAGATGAAACCATAAAAGGCCTAGAAGAAAGCTACAAGTAAGCAGTTAAATGACAACTAAGAATTTTCTAAGTATGCAAAAGAAATTATCTGAGAATGTTAAAATGTATTAAATTATGATACATTAAAATATATTAAAAGCTAAATGAAAAAC